GGCAATTCGTGGCGAAGGGAATGGGTCCAGTTCATAAGGTTTCGAGTATGAGATGTCATTTGGTTTGTATGAAAAATTTGAATTCACCGGTGACACTATCTCAATGAGAGGGCGCAGAGAAGGGGACTGGCACACGGCTTGGTGGCCTCTGAATTACAGCAGCGCCCAGTTTTCGTAGTTTATAGAAGCACGTGCGTTATAAATAGAAACAAGCTCTGTTTTTCCCTCAGCAAATCAGAAAGAGACCAAAAAAATTCAAGTTTATTCCCATTCAAGACGTCCAGTTTGATCAGCCTCTTCTAATTACCGCATATTCGTCGCGCGCGGCGTGCGGCGTGTAGTTTTAGCGCACATATGGGACGTGAATGTTTCCATTTCCACATTCGGACCAGCTCACTCAAGTGAATATCTCAACACTCGAAGTTAGGCCGGAGCTAAAAACCCTGAATTAAGCTTCGGCTGGTCTTTCAAAACAGTAAGGATCGGTAACCCATTCAAATGCCTCCACGCTTTCATCTGAACGTTGAATGTATGGCGCATCCCAAGCCACTCCACGCTAGCATGCCTAACTTTTCTGTTTTCTACTTACTTTTTTAATAGCGACATCAATAGGCGGTGCGGTTGAGCCCTCGTGGAGAGTGCCCTCAAAAACTTCACTGAAATTTCCTTCGCCAATTTTTTCACCCAGAGTGATCTTGTCTCGCGTTAGCTCCCATTTCTGTTTTGGTATAGGATTTATCAACTTGACACCTTGTCCAATCGGCGTACCACTTTCTTTGTGGAACCTCAAACAGTAGAGGGCATGTTGAATATTGAGACCTTATCTTGACCTTTTGTTGCATAGACTCACTTAACCAAGTCAATAATTCCTGGATTGCGAAAATTGCCGTCCAATGTGAAAAGGCGATTTTCTCCTTTGACACGATATCGTATCGGATGATCGATTACTTGGTCCCATTTCACAGTAACGCACGGCTGGAAAGAGTGTTTGGACTGGTGCGTACCAGGGAAGCTCTCATTCAGTTAATAAGCTTTTCTCTTCAGACATCTAGGCTTGAATGTAAGTAAACCTAGGCGCAGTCGCGATAGATGTTGGTAGGGCCGGGGTGAGCCACGTGACGACGGCATTTCGACTAACAAACCATCTCATCCTTCTCCATGAATGCGACCCTTCTCTCTAGACCACGATCCCCTACTCCAATGCAGGATCAACCGTTCGTTGGCACTATTCGAACGAGGGGGAAACACTTAAGATTTTTGAAGGGGTGGGTCATATTTGGGGTAGCAAAGGTGACTAGTTATCGGGGAAGCGCAAAGAGAGATCGTAAGGTTTTTGACGGGTTTTTGGGTTATCTCTGCGGAAACGTGAAGCAGACGAAAATTGTATATTTGCCGCCTGTGTACCAATGTACCCTACCCCTACCCTCCCTCCCTACCCCCCTCGCATGGCCATTTGTCATTTTGGGAAAAAAAACTTGGTGGAGGTCAAATGTTTCGACTGGTCTCTGAATAACACGCTAGAGGG